CATCCCTGAGTGGCATACAGTGCAACATCTGCATCAAGCAGTGATTGTCATTTACAGAGCATGAAACTTAAAGGAAAGAGGACCAGGTCTCCAACATACTGTTCCTAAAGGATGTCAGAGACAGTAATTAGCCTTCGGAGTGGAGGCAGAAAGTGCTGGGATACATAGGTAAGTGTAAGTACTCTTATTTTGTCAGTGTCAGGGAAAAGAAAGCTATTCTTTCTCAGGTTTCCATTTCAACACATACACCTAGACACAACGCATTTGGACCAAAAAGACTGTTTGGTGTTTCACTTTGATCTTGTTGCCCAGTCCTATGTTGCTGGAATGTCTAATAGATAACTCTGAAAACAGGAACCAATCTTCCAGGCCAGATCTTGCCTATTCTGGAAACAGCACGATCAATACAAAAAGCATCAGGAGGAAGGAAGATGGTAGGAGCCTGAATGCCTTTCGCCTGTGCTTTGGAGCGCAGCTTTATAGGAAGGGAGAAAGATATGGGGGGACAGGATAGTTGCATGGCTCTGGGCTGCTCAGTGAACTGCTTGGAGGGGCTGCCATCTTGGAGCAGCTCCTGCAGCCCAAGGGTGGGAGGGTGAGGGGATAGTGTGAGACAAAAGCTTTGCATCCTCTTTGCACAAAAGTGGTTGGGGCATAAATCCCTGAAAAACTAAACCTAAAGGGAAACGAACACCTGTGCAAGCTACTTCCATGGGAGCAAAGACAACCACGTAACAAAGCTCATGTTCATGGACAAGTCCCGTAGCTGCCCCACCAGCAACACCCTCAGATGCGTGAACCAAGCCAATGCTGGTGCTTAAGATGCAACAGAGAAAATAAATTGGCCCTTGTGAGATGGAGCTGAAATGAACAACAAAAAGCACAAAATAAAAGCATTAAAAAGTAAATATGGGGATAACATCTGACTTGTGCTCCTCAAAGCTCAAAATAGACATCCTAATGCTGAGGGCTTCTGTCTTTATGAGGAATTGAGCACCTTCTGTGTGGTGCTGAGATGCCCCCCGTTTCAATAGCTCCAGTTAGAGCTCAGGGAGCCTGGCAACTTGCAGAATCAGTTCCTTAATGTTGCCTATCACAGACCAATCATAAAACATATATTGCTTTTGGAAACAAGTTGGCTCAACTGAGTGCCTTCTATTACCCTGTTTTTCTAGCACTCACTAAAGCAATCTTTCCATTAAAAGAAAATATGACTCTTGGAATTAATTCTTTATACAAAGAGCTAGCAAGAGTGACATTTACACCAAAATTAAGTCCCTGTGGTAGTGTAACAAACAGTCGACAGCTGCCTGCTTCATGCCAAGGATAATTTAAATCAACGTGGTTGAATTATCTGAGAACAACACTAGAAGAAGAAGATTCAATATATATTTTTAATCCTTTTTTGTTAAAAATCTGGGGTTAATTATTGAAAAATCAGTCCCATTTGAAGAGCTTGTCACTAAAAAGTTAGCAAACTAGCAATTACTACAGAGCAGATGTGACAAATGCTAGTTCAAGAGATTTGATCGAAGGGTTTCAGATACTGGTGTGGAGTACTGAAAGCCAGCAAGAAATAAAGTGCAGCACTAATATTTTCTGAAATTAATTTTGTGAGTGGAATATGCTGCTAACTATTGGGACTTGTGTGGTTTTATTGTTTAAAGTCTAACGGATGACATCAGGAACCTAACATCAGGAATTTGAAAATTTGAGCACACAGGGCCCTATATAAACAACAACAAAATTCCAGCCCATAGTGTATAACAGTTGTTTGTTATTCCATAGTTAGTCAATGAAGTTGCAGAAAACATTTTACTGTACTTATATGGCCAATGCCAAATTACAGAAAACTAAAGAAAAGTTATCAACTTTTATTGCCACCAACAAATAATGTATGAGAATTAATTTTTATTCTTCAAATAAAGCACAGGTTCTTTAAAGTTCTAACAAAAGCAGAAAAAGTTGCTCATAATTAATATTATTTGAAGCTAATAATTTGATTGATTGTCAATATTCATAATTGTTTGTACAGACTATTGTCTATTAATGGTAATGAAGATTTTGTAGCTTAAAGATTTTAGGACCAGGAGACAAGAATGCACTTTCAATCCATGATGGGACACTACTTTCTCTGTGGTCCTTGGCAAGTCACTTAACTTCTTTGCCTTCATATCCTTAGCTTTAAAAAAGGACAGCAATCCTTATTTATGAAATAGGTTGTGAGGCTGCAGTGATTAGTAGGTGCTTTAAGAATGAAAAGTGCTATGGAGAAGGAATAAATAACATCTTTTTCACTAGTCATCTCCTTTCAGTCATCTTGCCTAAGACATAAGTTAAAAATCCTAAGGATTGATATCTGATTTGAAAAACATAGTATTTTTTCAAGAAACAGTGTATAACAGTGAGGGACATATAGGAACATAACAAAACTTCTGTGTTTACAAACATTAAGGACAGAAATATTTATCATCTATTCTATATTTCTGTAGGCTGGCTAAATATACTACTTCTAATATACTGAAAGAATTTAAAAAGAATTTCAGATAAATATATATGTGTGTTTTCATGTGTTTCAAAATTATAGGGTAGGTATTAAGCCCTAGCAATCAAAAATGAGCTCTTCTAATGTTCAGTTTAACTTGACTTTTTCCCAAATGTCTTCACATCGGCCAGGAATAAATACAGCTAGTTAACTTTTCTGAAATTAGGAAGAGGTGAAGTTTGCAGTCTTATTCACGGATTTGCCGTGTAAAAGATGTAAAAAGATAAATCACCTTATAAGGTGTTGCCATTTTTAGAGTTTAAGTGGTATAAAGAAGTGACAACAGCAATACTTATCTATGTTAACTGAAGATGTTCTAATGTAATTAGCAAAGATCAGAAAATGTGCCCTGAATTTGGGGTAAAACAAGTATTTTAGTATTTTAGAAATTGCTGTTGTACAGCACTATGCAATTTTGCAAATGTTGTCACTTTTACAATAAAATTATTCTTAGTGCAGCTAACTTTGCCGTTTTTTTCTTTTTTTTTCCTGAGGCTGGAATGGACTTTCAGAGAAACATTTATAAGTTGAGTGTTTATAACTGCTGTTGTAGGGATTGCTAAGACGAAAGAACAGAACAAACAACTATTGATGTTGTCGAGAGTGGATGCTGTCATGAAATGTGTCATGTAAGCACGCAAACCAGTTGATGGAGGACAAGGGAAAACTATTTATAAAGTACATTTGGAATAGTCTGTGAATTATTTGGTCCTGTAGAAAGAGGACTAGAAGACGGACTTGAGAGCTATGTGAGTCTCCTGAAAAAGCTAGAGGCATTAAGCTCTCATTGCAACAACCCTGTGTGTCCTGGGCCAGCTGTGCCCCTGTGGGCTCCCGTGGCACTGCTATGCCACGCAGCCCTGCCCACAGCAGGTCCTTCGGCCTCCCTGAGTATCCTCCTCCTCGCTGTGCCTCAGACTGCAGTGATTTCTATGAGATTTGAAATAAAAAAAATCTGCTTGTAAGTCCTGCCTTCAGATTTTCTCTTCTCTGTCTGCTTCCAATGATTTCTGCTCTACAGCCTCTGCTGCAGTCCCTGAAGGAGACTTCTCTGGAAAAAAGGGTGGTAAGGACAGCCCCGTGGGGGAAGCTGAACCCCTGCTCTTCCATAGGTAGAAAGTCTATGGTTTGTGGCTCTGGCAGCATCCAGATACATTAGTCATGACTGCTAATTAGACTTAATTAATCCACAAGATTGAGTCTGTGGCAGTTTTCTACTCCCCCCTGTTCGTAATGTGCTCTGTAATCTATAAGGCTATAAATTAAAATCATCGATTACAACATGTCAGAATTGAACTGATGATGGAGATTGCAGTTCACTCTACAGCTGCATGTTTCCAGATCATACCTAGCTCTGTACTGGCTTTTGGTTTTGCAAGAAAATGCACATAAAGTCATTTCACAGAAAGACAAAAAGAAAGCCTCGATCCTTTACTCCCCTTCTGAAGTGCATCTAAAATCAACCATTTGTGTACATATATATATATATGTACATATACACATGTGGAATGGAGACCAGTGGCCCCACCTAGAGGATGGCTATGTCACACCTAGTGATAGCCTGTGGCTGGCTTTGTAACCATGGTCATTGCTCCCTTTGTCTTTCCTCTTCCCTTCCTTCCTTTCTCCTGCTGCTACTCTTCAGAGCTACATTTTAGGTTTCCTATGGTTCTCACCGAGATTACTATATGCCTTTCCACTGACAAAAACCAAACGAGCCTTGCAACTACTTTTCAAAGAAATATACACAAAATAAAACCTTTTGCTGAAACAGAAAAATGTAAGGGTGGCATATTTACATTTTTACTCTGTGTTTTAGATACCTTACTGACATCAGGTCCTACCATGTTCACTTTTATATATGCTCCATCCCTGTAACAGGGAGAAAATACCAAAAAAAAATATCTTTTCCTTTCTCCACTTGAATCATCCAGACAAGGCTTTTGCACCATTGATACGTTCCTGATGTTTCATTTAAAGACTGCACATACGCACTACATTACATGTCTCAGAAGTGATCATGTTGTCATACATTGGCAGTTGATGATTTAACCCTAACTGGCAAAGTAAATCTTGACTGCCCAAAGTAAATCTAACATATTAGTTGGAGAGTAAGAAATGCATGAGAGCCTGGCTGAGCATCCTTCGAAATTAGGCATGGAATTTTTAAGCTACAGCATGTATGCATATAATACACATACATATATATGTATATAGAACATATACATATTTATATGTGTATTCCATACATGCAGAATAATTTCCAAGACAGCTACAAATTTCCACATGCATTAAACTATCTAAAAACAAGAAATAGGCAAGTCTAATAAGTGGAATTTTCTTAAATTATATTTGAACAATAAACAGCAAGAGTAATACTGCAAAGTACTGCTCTATTTTCATTTATATCTACAATAAAATTCTATGAACAATTGTCTCCCAAAATATACCCCAATAAAATAAAATTAAAAAAAGAAAGTAACACCCAGTGTCCTATATTTGTATATTCATGGTCAGTTCAAAAAAAAGTAAACAAAAGAAAAAAAAAGAACCCCAATTAGAGGTGCATATTTACATTCTTCAAACTGTAGCGGTGAAAAATAATTCTATTAAGTGCAGGACATTCCTAGTGTTGCAGTAGTGACATTTTTAATAAGTTCTTCATGAAAACATTTCTTTTGTCTTAACAGTGATGCATTCCATGACTATGTGACAATTCTATCTTCCCCTTCACTTGCAGCCAGTGGTAGAGTCTGGATTGAAAAGCTCCTTATATAATGGAGGAAACAGTGTGTTCACTATATCTGGATGAGATTGTTTAAATACCTGTAGTTTCTCTCCATGCAAGTTGCAAAGTGCAGTAATGGTTGGTATCTTGGCTATTAACTGTGAGATATAAAAAGAAAAAGAAAAGGAAGAAGGTGGAAGCAATTTTAGTATAAATTACAATATAAATTCTGAAATGAGTTAAGGTAGCATCCTGTCGGCTAACAGAATGCAATACTCTGAACTCCATTAGAATTACCCATTCAATAAACTAGAAATTGTTCTTACCGTTAGAGGTTAAACAAAAATGTCCTGAAAATTCTAGTCAAATGCTAAAGGAGGTGTTACAAAGAAGGAACTCCCTCCAGGGGTGTTTTTTTAAGGCAATCATCTCATTCTTGCAGGGCTACCAAATAAAGTCGTTAGTGGTTTGAACAAGAAGGAAAGAAAGAGGAAAGACAATCAAGGACAGGAGTACAGGAACAAGCCTTCCTTCTTCTCCTACACAGTGCAAGTGCATAGTATGCTCCATTTAACTTATGTTAAGGCACCAATACACAGAGAAGCACCTACTAAAAGAGACACGTGACCTCGGAGTACTCGGCCCGTCTTTTTAACAATTTACCTTCGTCAAAGTCTCATCGTCGAGGTGGTTCTTCTGGATCACGTGTTGAAGTGCAAAATAAATCTTTTCCTGAAGCTTCTGGACCTTCCTTGGCTCTATTAACCAGGCTCGATCTGAGAACAAGAAAAGCAGGAGCTAAAGCCAAGGAAACTGTGGAAGTGGGGCATGCTCACAATGGACACACTATCCGATAAGCATTCATAGCAACCACCGATCTCGTGGGGAAGGACTGCAAGATAATTAACATACGGTTTCAGAGGCAGAACATCTCAATCCATTAAAGGATCATCTGAGAGTTTAATTAACACATCCAAAGTGTAGAGCAACACGATATTGGCTCTACTTTTGTTTATTTGAACCAGAATGTTAGAGGAAAAGATGGGAGTAAAAATGAAACAAGGCCCAAACATTTTATTATTCTTTGTTGGTATACACAGTGTTTTCCTAGTTTTCTTCTGTGTAGTTGAAAAACATGTCATGTTATCTCAGTAGCTTTTTAATCCATAAATAATAAACATATTGATCAAAACAGTCAGCTCTTTGAAAATAACAGAATATAATTATTTAAAAATTAAAACAAAATATAAAATTTATAAATATAAAGTATATCTCATTATTTACTAGGCTAACATTTTGTTTAAACAACACAAAACAAAACAGTATCTGGAGAATAAAATTTACAGATACAGTTGTCTGGAACTCTGTATGGCTTCTGCTGAACTCAAATCTCCATTGATTTCAATGCATTGATTTCAATAGGAGGCCTTTCTTAAGATCTGTGTTTTTACAAGCTATAGCTTCTGGAAACAACCACACACAAAGTGAAATAGCAGACCTCAAGACAATTCTGAAAATACTAATATAATGTTTGTACTGCACCAGTAAACCTTTTGCGTGCTCATGCTGCAAACTTCTTTCCAGCTCTCACAATCCAGACTGATGCTTGGTATAGATTTTAGCTTCCAGGAAATGGAAAAAATCCATTTTGTCATAGTGAATTGGAAGGTGCAGAAAAAAATCCCTTTCCCTTTCAGAACTCGTTTTTTTTCACCCCTTCAGTCACTAAAATACTCCATAGAAGTAATATAAGTTGACCATTTCATTGAGCGCGCCTGTCGTATAGAGCAGATGACAACACAAAAGTGCTGTACTTCAGCACAGAAGGTGCTTTCTGACACTCTGTGGAGAAGAGTGCATGAAAAGTGACATCATCAAATACTGCAAAAAGAGACACATCACCAATCTCCAGATACTTAACAGGTGCTCAGGGAAAAACTACCTTGCTTTTCTGTTGCATCAGTGGGCATAGAAACAGTATTAGCTAAGAGTGTACACAGCCCCCACAGAAGTGAGCACACAGTAGCATTTAGACTTCCTAGGTCAGATGCCAAATTTTATACTGTTGCAAAAGCATGTGTTTCAATAGTGTTAAATCAAGGCCTATTGTGGCAGACTGAAGCTAAAAACATTTATCATAGAGAGCAATTCTTAAAGATTTATCTTTCTGTCACAGAAATAAGCTTAAAAATAGACTGAGGCTATTGGTGCACAAGTTTCATGAATTATCTGTCATAGAGTATGCTGTATAAAACACAAGAGTAGTTAAACTCGTGGCAAGAGCTAGGTGAAACTTTTACAATGGATATTAACTTTGCCTTCCAAAATGTGATTTCTAACACCTGAAAACCATCTGTAAATTTTGCAGGAATTTGCCAGCTACCTCTTGTTATATTCACAAAAGTGTAGAAAAAGAAGTCAATCAGTAGGTGGCTACCAATAAGGGTAATGAAAAATACTGGTTCAATTCTGTGCTTTTCCTTTAGGAATTTGAACTCATCTACCTTTAAAGAGGGTACAGACCACTAGGCTAGCGTATATAGTGTAGTGCAGAAGATGACGGACAACTCAGAAGCTCTCCTTTTGCAAAAAGGAAGATGGGAAAAAGGAATGTGGTCAGTCAAAAACTCAGAAGAAGAGGGACCAGAACCCGGGGGGCCAGCCAGGCTCTAACGCGTTTGCAGGTGGAGATGACTCAGCATCGGTTGTTGGGGTCACTTTACAACGTGTTAAACTTGGAAGTAAGAAATCGAGCCAAATAATTAGCCACAAGCATGCTGGTTATAACACTCATGTGAGAAGTGCAACATTTGGTTCTGTGCTCTGAATCAGGCTGAAAATGGGTCTGAAACTGGGCTTTGCAGTGCAGAACCCTAGCAACTACATTAACATGTGTTCTTAGGTCCCCTAATTCCCTTCGAGGCTCCTGTTCCATGTAAACTACCTAAACAGTCATTGAGATTGAGAGCACAGGAGTCACCACTCAGGGTGAAAGCTTCCATAGCAGAAAGAAACTGAATCTGGATAGCTCACTTAATGGGTGTTTGGGTCTCTAAGCTGGTGGGTAGAAGGAACGTGGCAGGGCTGTACTTACATGAATCAGTGCCCAATTTTTTTACTTCTACATTCATTTTCCCCAAATGAAGTCAGCATTTTGAAGCACCTGGAACATCTAGTGTGGAGTGAAATGATTTCTTTTTCTATTATCTATTGTTATTATTTTGGTAAGACAAAAAATGGCAAATTTCGGTGTCAGTTCAACATGTACTGATTTTCCTTGCCTCCTCGCTCCCAAATTTGAGCAGCCCAACTGAACTGGAAGTTACTTACACAACCGAAATTTGCAGGCTTTTCATGAGAGATTGTTTCCCATGTTCACCTGCTGTTTCAGCCCGTCACTATTTCCTTATTGCTTCTTTCACAGCTAAAGGTACACGTGCTTACAGACTACAGGAAGGAGCAGTCAGGAGGCGTCAAGTGCTTTCACGCTTGATTCTTGGTTAAAGGAACAGGAGAGAAATAGACTGTACGTTTCCTCTTGCCTGTGTGTGGGAAAAAGCCAACTTGGACATGAAAGGCAGAACTGTGGATTATTATAGTATTTCATCTTGTCCCACCAGCTTCAACTCTCAAGCTTGATCACAGTGAAAAGAACTTGGAACTGCTTTTGCTTATCTGTGCTGCTTGGCAGAAACATAAGCTGCTATTCAAGAAACACCCACCTCTGGAGTGCTGTTTCAGGACTGCTGCACATCAGGACTGAAATTCTTGGATAGAGTTAATGGGGAGATTTTCACAACACATGTCTGCCATTCAGTTGGTCCAAAGCCATTTGAGTTACTAGCTTTTTCAAGCACTTAATACAGCCATAGATGTTTTACAAGAAGCAGAAACAAGCGTGGATTCTCAGGCAACAAGAAGTGCTGGCAGAATGCAAGAGATTTTGGTGCTTCACAGGTGAAAAGGGCATATGAAGAGCTACAAAGCTTGAATCAGAATTTTCATATCCATTCAGTGCCTATCTGTAGCTAAGCACATTTCTTAAATGACTTGATCCAAATTTCATTAAAGTCAATGGGAAATGTGGCAGTACTTGAATAGTACTGTGTCTCATGCTTTACCCAAGCACGAGGCACAGAAGCCTCAGCATTCCTGGAAGGGTTCTGTGACAAGATTTTGTTGGCTAGCACTATAATTTACTCTCCCTTCAAAAAATTTTCAGGGAAATGATTTTGGAAAGAAATCTGACTTCTTTTAAATTTGGCTAGAAATCATATCAGTGACTCTTTTCCCTAAGGTAAGATGTCCACACCTTATCCTAAGTGCGCTGAAGTCAGCAGCAATAATCTTATTGCTTCTGTCCATCCAGCTAGCTCCTACTTTTCCAACTTCTAACTGGTTAGAAAAATAAAAAGTAAACACCCACTATTTAAAAAAAAAAAAAAGACAAATACAGATCCTGCGTACAAGGATTCCAGCACCTTCCTACCTATCTCGATTTCATAATATGAAATGAGCCGGAAATATCTAAACCACCTTCTGCTACCTCTGCTGTTAAGGTGTTCCTGAAGAACTTCACAGTCCAGACCTCAAAGCCACAGGCTGCTAAGCCTGCTCAAGAGCAAGCTCCGGCTGCACTTAACTGTACAGGGTTGCTGCTTTTAAAAGTGACTGCCTTTTGTCGTGGTCACAGGCTTGGACTTCTCGGACTGGAGGAAGCATAGTGAAGAGGGACCTATCAGGATGCTGTGTGTCCAGCGTCCCAGGGGGATAGTGCACAGCCAGCCTCAACCCCCACGTATGCTTGGGATGCAGCCAAGGGGTACAAGTGGTGATGGGGGCTGCCGGGCTGCTCAAGACCCCTGGCCTCACGTGTAAGCAGCCACTGCCTCATCCCTCTCACCTTGGAGCAGATGGTGCACCACCACAGGGACTACTTGAAGGGAAAATAAAAGGAGCAGCGTTCTTTCAGGAGATGTTATTAATGATGAAAACGAGCATGTTGACACCATCTGTGCTAGTCTAATTCTGCCTAATGTAATCCACCACAGATGTGCAAAAGGTCAAAGTGACCTAGAGGAAGCCTTAAGCAGAACAATCTGGAAATATAATTTGCTATGGGATTTTTTGTGAAGAGCTTTTAAGAGGTTATTCTTAGTCAGAATTGGGGGGAGGGGGGGAATCTACCAACCCTGGAGTATGTTTAAAAATCCCACACTAGACTGTGAGCCTGTCTATGAGATCCACCTTCTGAGTCAGTTCAGTCACCAAAGCTCCTTTTCTGTGGTCAGACAACCCGAGCTGATTCAGAACATGCTTGCCTGGGAGGAGTTATGGTGTGTGAACAAATGAAAAAAGAGCATGTTGCCCCAGGAAGCGCTGAGTCTTACCTGGGGCTAAATTCAGAAAGGACTTTGTGCAGTATTTTACAGCTCTTGTTTTCATCTCCATGTGAAAATTCCCACCAGAGTTATGGACCCTCCTCTCTGTGTGCCACCAGAAGTCAGCCTCAGAGCAAATGGGAGAGTTAACACCTGGAGTTCCTTGGAAGTTGGAGGAGGACCGTGCACCTCCTTGGGTACTGCGCTTCTCCATGTTGGGTGCGGAGGGATTCCAGCCGGCCCCCTGGTCTGCACAGTCCAGCTGCAGGACTGTCACCACCACTCCCAGCCACTGCAGCTCCTTTTTTTCTCATAACAGAGCCCACAGATCCTTGACTCAAATGCAGCCAATCTTTTCCCATGATTTAAGTTCAGGTAGCAAATAACTGACTTATTTTTCTTTTTGTATAACCAATAAGTTGTGTATAACTGCATAGCCTACTGATCTGTGAATTTTTATGATGGGGTCCTCATACTTTGAACCTGTTTCCAGTATGTGTGGCTGCTGACAGTCTTCCAAAAAGAGTGCATTTGGGTAATCCAGATACTCTTCTATTGTTTAAAACACTAGTTTAAGAAGGCACAGCCATTTAAGTAGGTAGAAATATAGGTGGCCAAGGATGGGGGCAGGGCAGAGGGGGAAGAGGGGTTCATTGTGGCATCTGGAATGAATAGTTACCTGGTGATATCAGAACAGCAGATGAAAACAAGGCAATCTCCTCTTCAGTCAGCTGTAAGGAACATAAATTCTTTGCAAAGTCAAATGCTTCATTCACCAGATCATCAGAACCTACAGATCACAGAGGACAAAGTTAATGCTAGAAAATTATCAGCTTTTTAACTTGACTTGAAAATTGACTTGTTTTGATGTCAAGGAAAATTTGGAGTCAACCTTTGCCCTTCCAGAACAGATGCCTTCCATCAGCTACTCCACCTGCTCTGAAAACTAGCTATTTTATGTATCGCTAAAACTGCACAAAAGTTATCAAGAATTAGGGGTATGCCTTTTATCAAATAGCACACAGAGATATCAGAATTTTTTCCTCCTATGTGGAAAGAACATAGGAGAAAATGTGTTATTATTAAATAGATATTAATCTAAAGGATATAGATGACTAATATACTATTTCATGTATAACATTTTATTAATTAACAGTACAAATATTTTTGAAGATTTGAGAAAGTATAACAAGGACCAAAATAAATCAACTAATGCATATTTAACATATATGTAAATGTTCTATTTATGCAATGGAATGCTTTGTTTATCCATATGCTAATAAGAAAAATATACCTCTACTATAAATTTATGCATGTAAAGTAAGTAACTCTCTCTGAATTTGGTTCTGATTGCCTCATGATTAAATTTGCCATAGTGTTTCCATTGCATGGATGGACAAAACAAACCATTTAGCTATTAATATTTCGGGTAGCACTCAATATCATGTCGAGAAATGAAGCAACTCCTTTAATATATGGATCTAAATGAGCTTAAAATTTCTGCCGATTCGGAGGATTTTAGGTTAGTCCCTTGATACCTTTTGCTGTGGTCCATCCTTTGAGTCCCCTTACTGATGGGGTAAAACAAATTCTTCCCTTTACTGCTTTTGTATGACACAATCAGTGGGAGTGATTTTATACACCAGACACAACTGAGCAGTGATGACAAACGACTTTGGTCCTGTCACAATTTCTTTTTTCCTGTGTTCTGAAAACTTTAGATGACACATTTGGAAGTTTATCTCATAAAATTCTCAGTGTTTTTTCACTAGCGAAAATCACTTATTTACTGCTAGCACCTGATGGAGATACTTTTTCAGTTCAAGCATAGAGATTTGGAGGTTTCGGGTTTCAAAATTTGCTGAGGACTTTCACTGTATTCGCTACTCTCAGAAAGACAAATCTGCCACCGTTGGACTCATTGTAATGGTTGAAAAGAAAAAGATGAACATACCCAAGGCTTTAAACATTTGCATCCCTCCATACTTTCCTTCAAACAGAACAGTATTGTTGAGTGGGTTGAAGGCACGGCACATTCTCACCAAAACCACTTCCAAGCAGCCTATTGGACACAAAAAAGAGCAAAAGTGCCACACGTTACCACAAAAAGTCAGAATAGAGGGGGTTTCAAGAAAATATTTAGGAAAACATCAGTCACTAGAAACATAGCAGGGAGTGACACTCTTTGGCACCAGGTAAATGATCTCTCTCTCTGAACGAGGGAAACAATATTCCTGATATGATAAAAGAAAAGAGAAATTTCCAGTCCAACCCATTTTCCTTTTTTAAAGTTGACTTTCTTCATTGCAGCAAACTGGTAGCCCGGCCTTGCTTTGAATTTAGAGCTGGGTGAATATATTTCATCAGAAGTGTTTTCTCCTGAAAATTAAGCATTTGTAGAGACTCTTTTTTAGTAAAAATTTTTTAATATAAAAAGGAAGCTTCATGCTATGTGGAAATGAATCTCAGTTTCATTTGGCTGGGGAGGGGGAACATCACAACGTGCTTTTAGAGAGAAAATAAAAATTAAAGGACTGTCAAAACTGCCCCTACGTTATATTTTCTTTTTGTTTCTTATTTTTCATTCAGATTGAGTATCTAATTTTAAATTTCCCTATCTATATCCAAATTTCCTGTAAGAGAAACTGTGAATCTGGGGATTGTTTTGCACATATATTTTTGAGTGAAAAGTCCTGATTTTCCAACTGCTTCTGCTTAGCATTGACAACAAAACAGAAAATAAAACCTGACATGTTTAGACAGGCTACAGCTAACCAGAGTTGTCCAACCATATGGTCAAATGTATCTTTTGCTTAAGGTGCAATTGTGTTGTTAGTTTTGGCAGTCAAATGAATGAAGTTACTTTGGGTGCATGGGCCTCTGCAGAAATTTTGAAATTAGTCTAAGCTTTGGAAATCGTTCTCGTGCTAAGATGCTCTTCTTTTGCAGGAGATTGCTCGTGTCCTCCCTAGATCTTTATGTACCCTTCTCTTTCTGCACCTCTGCCCACTGCCTTGGGTCAGTCCCATGCTGACCCAGGGCCCCTGAGTATGGCGTGCTGAATCGCACCGATTCGCAGATTTAATGAAGAGCTCTCTCTGGAAGCAGCACTTCTTAAGCTTTAATGAGCTGCCTGCCTCACACAGCACCTCGCCTTTTGCAGAAGGAGAGAGCAAGAAACTCGTATGACAGGGTAAATGCAGCTAATTACTAGTAGCAGCTCACTTGGTAATGCCGTTTTGTCCTCCCCAGTTAAATGGTGCTATTACAGTCATGATTAATCTTGTCACGGAGGACAGAAATTCCCGGGCCCCATGACAGGGCAGGAACCCCTGTTCATCCATGCCCTTTCGAGCACGTGCGCACAGAGCCCCGTTGGAGCGCCAGCGCTGCCGTGATCCGCTCTCATCTCTCCCAGCACCAACTGGCGCCAGCAGGGATTTTTCCTCCTGTGCGCTGGCTGGAGGGTATTGCTGCAGCCTCATTAAAAAGATTAGAGATGACCACAGAGGCAGGCCCTAGCGAGCTGGTGTTTGCTCCACTAATGATAAGCAGGGATTTTAAAGGGTAGCAGATGAGTGATTCAGCCGGCTCAATTCACAAGGTCTTTCCACTATATGTCGGGTTGGAGACTGCAGTTTCCACAGTGATCTTGTGCATGTGTGTGTGTGCGTGTGTGTGGGTATTAAACAAGCACAAATTGACAACTGAGGGAGAGGACCAGAAGAAAGTAACATTATTAACATATTAATGCATCTAGTGAAATAGACTGAAGAGTGGTCCTTCTTTAAAATTAAAATTAAAATGACCTGCCAAACTAGACAACAGAATATGTTTCTAACGCACCACATGCTAAGCTGGTCTCTGGTCCTTCACGTTTACCCACCTGACTTAAGGAGTAGGATTTGGTCGTTCTGGCAGAGCTCCATGAAGCCAGTTATTCGCTTTGCAAACTCCACCACGTACTGAATGGCGTGAGTGATCTGAATGGCACATTGCTGCCACAGAGCTTCTCTTGTCTTCCCGGAAATGCACATGAAAAAGCAAGGCAGTAAGTAAGCATGTTCGTTAGAGCATTATGGACTTCATGTGGCCCGGCAAAAAAGCACAGTTCTTAGCTTTTACCCTTGGCAGAGCTATGGCATCTCTATTTATTAAATTGCCTGACACTTTTCATAAGAAGGCTGTTTTCACACGTCATTTGCCCCAGGGGCATGAACGCTGGCATTGCCTCCTCAAAAGGTGGACTGTATTGGCCAATGTTACAAGCTGATTTTAGTGCTGGCCTTTGTGAAGGGTACACAAGCAGCGACACAAACAGCATAAACATCCTGGAGTATTGTTAGATGTGAAGCAGAGCAATGCTGCTAAGTCATCTAGCAGAATACTTCTGCTAGCTTAAAGCTTAAAAAACCCAAGAGTCATTCAAGTATCATTGCAATCTGAACAGTGATTAGACCAGATTTATATCTCCTTGATAACTTCCTATATCTCCCTGATAACTTGTTCACCTATGTGTGCAGATGCACACTGATGCTGTTGGGTTGCGTGCCCTAGCTCTGGAAGCCATAGTGTATTTTTACTCCCCGCAGCACTGCACAGCCACAAAGCTTTCAAGGAACAAGCCAGATTCTCTTCTGTCTTTTGCCTGGTCAACTGATGTGTCAACTAAATTTTGGCTGCAGAACCGTTGCTAGTGACCTAAGCAAGGAGGCACAAATGACACAGCTGGGTTTCTGCGGGCTGGACTACAGCTGAAGAGCTGCAATAAGAGTAAGCAATATTGTGAACCGGCTTGACCTGTGAATCACAGAGGTAGACTGAAAATGTAGTGTAATGAGACCAGTTTTCCAGTCACTTTTGAACAGCTGCCCTTTAAGATATACTTTGAATTTATCATTATCTAATGTCTAGAAGTGATGGATATGTACTTTGCTTGCAGTGAAAACATTTGTTTTTCACACAAGAAAGGGACCCATGTCTAATAGTTTCCAAAATGAAATGAAACAAACTATGTTGTCCTATTTCTGAAAGCTCTTCTAACAAAGATGGGCTGATTCTGATCACATTAAAGTCGGCTGAAATTCTGCAAAAATTTTAGGCCTGTGGTAACAAGCAGTGAGTGGAAAGCTAGATTCTGTAACCACTCCCAGGGCTTGACATCAGCAAACATTTCAACATGCTGGAAAGCTGTTGCTTCTTTTTATGAACTGTCACTCCTCTGTTCTCAGTAACCAGGCTCCTTAAAGGCATTTAAAAGCTTATTTTTAACCTCTTGGTTAAGCAACTCATCAGTATGTCCTTGTCCAATATGTTTCTCTGGTAACTATTTCAAACAATGGGGAAAGGAGAAAAAGCAGGTATTACAGGATTGTACCTTGCTCTGGTAAACCTTAATTTCTTCATACGTGTGGGTCTGCCATGCTAGCTGGTGTAGTTCCTCCATTGTATATTGACATGTCTCCAAATGAGATTTAATGATATTCTGTGCAATTCGGTCTGAGAAGAGGAGAAGAAAAAACAGCTTGCATGAAACATCTCAGTGAACAGTGATTTCCATAGCAAAATGCTGAAGACATTAAAGGTGTTGGAAAATGCAGATTTTCAGCAAAACATCTTTTCTTTCCCGACGGTACCTTTCTAACTCACTCTCATGCTCTTTTTTCATTTCTGAAAATGTCTTTTGCAAAATGTTTTGGTATTCAACCCAAAGGATGCTCAACTTTTCATGGATTTGCACGTGAAAATAACAACAGCTCTTGTGAAACTGTTTGGATGCTTTCATTTTGGAAGTGAATTTGTCCTGCTGTGTTTAAATAAACATGATTTTGAGACCCTGTTCACTTCTGTCTTCCTTAAGTTTATGCAGCTGTCCAGGCCTTGCAGCTCAGTCCTGACTGGAGCATTTGCATGACCTTTGGGGTGATTCAGACCAGAGAAGCAGGAAAAATCTCTGTTTTTCTCAAGTTAGTTTTTAGCTGGATCAATTTCTAATATACCTCAGTGGGCATCAATATGGAGACTAGTGCTAATGAGGGGCAAAAGCTGGAACTAGTAGTCTGGGTTTTAAGGAAAAGGGGGAGGAATAGATTCCGCTTTTCTGTGACAGCGCAGGATTAAGTTACCTGAAAGTTACTGTGAAACCACAGCCTTATAAACTACCATGTAATATAGGACATATGGGGAAATTGAACTGTTCAACGCTGGCCTGAGATCCAACTGAAATTAATAGCAAAGTTCTCAGAGAAGTATTTGAAGGTAGGTCTTTGCCTTTTAAATCATGTGAATGGATAAAAGGGTTTTTCACAGAAAGTTTCCCATATGAGTTCATTAAAAGTAGAAGTTGAAATCTCTGGACAAAGCATGCTGTACCAAGTGCAATGATTCCCTAATTTTGCAGTTCTAGATGCATATATCTAATGAAGCTTTGGGTTTCAGCCTAAAGGCATTGCCTAAATGAAATACCTTTTAACAAGAGAACAGGTGGAAGTCATAGGACTGAACTGAAAGGCTTACCGCAGAACCTCACATAACAGAGACCACATTCAAAAAGAAGACATTCAACAAGATTTTGGCAATGCATTAGCCAGATCCAAGCATGAGAAATAAAAAGGACCAGGGATGTCATCATTTATTCATCAACATCCTCTGTGCACAGTGAGTGGATCTGGTGCTTTGGAGGCCAAAATATGACTGTTTCAAATTTAAAAAGACCACTTAAAAATGCGTGTAAACATGTATATGCTTACTGACATCACTGCTATAGAAGTGTTCTTTAAATGAGAGATATCTATGTAACTGGCATAATTAATAAACTGAAATCTGCCTAGTGAAATCTTTACAGCAATCACTTAACAGGTTAGTGCTATCCTTAGGCTTCCTGATGGAAGAACCGATTCAGGGGTAAAGAAAACTAAAAGTGTATGTTAGCGAGTGCAGAGAGCTATCCCCCATTCTTTCATTAAAAGATAGTCTTATTCCATCATGGTAAGTTGCCTTATTTTGTAGTAAAAACCCCTTGCAGATAATTGGGCACGTTAGAATAAACAGATGATGATGTTTAAATAACTTTTTTTTTTTTTTTTTGCCAAATCAGTAGAAGTTGATTAAAGAATTGCGGTTCAAGAAAAACTATTTTGGAAACATGACATTTCAGATTTTAGCCCTAATATATTCTATTTAAAGTACAATTTTAACAGAATCAGCTTTCTGGAAATGTCCTAAACCACAGCAAACCCGACTGCCGAAATTCAGTTCAATTGTAAACTTTGCCATTTATGTTACTAGAAGAATTTAACCAGATGAAACTGAAGTATGGACTTTTGTTACACTTCCCTATTCTTAATAGCAAAGGATTTTGCTCTCTTCCTTCATTGTCTGTACATTCTCTCTCTCATGCTTCCTAATCCAGGTCCTTTAGCCTTGCCATTCATTGCATAAACTAGGAATTATTCATATTCTTGACATAAAGAAAATAAACCCTGGCATTACTGCATAGCCATATTTTGAATTAGATGAGGTGGCCTGATGGCTAACAATCTGCAAATAAGAACCTTCTGCTTCACTGATTTAAAACATATTTGATTAGCAGTGTTACTTACGTTACTGTGAAGATTCCCACCCCCACTCTTTTACTCTTTACTGACCGCTTATCTATATACCTTAGGACCAAACAGTTGAATGGCACTTCAAAAACTCTACAGCATTTTGTGGGGTGGCATCTTGTTTTACCCCTATCCAGCTGTAAGCATAGATGTTTCTTTACATATCCATGCTTATGTTAAGCTGACATTAAACCCATTTAGATATTTAAAAGCCTTAAGGTAACAGCAGCAAGCAGCAGCACTTGAGGAACCAGGTGCAAGATAGACTTCAAATTTTAGTGCCATAGGCTAGCCAAGGAGGACAGCATCATGGTGCACTTGCTCTCGGGAACGAGGGCCTGGCTGCTCTCTTGCCTGGCTGACTACACGAAGGCAGCGTAAGCAGCGTAAGCAGCGGAAGGGACTCCAACTTTACACAAATATGGCATTTCACACGGTACAAAAGGTAAAACAAGTAAAAGCTTGTATTGGCTTCTCTAAGAGGCCAACAACCTAAGATACGTGACGAGGCAGAGCAAAGAATGTAGCTCTCAAACGGTTGCGAAGTCCATAGCCTTTTTTTCTGAAGTCTTCAAATAGACAAATACATTTTAGCTTTTTTTTTGGCTAATGAAATTGGAATTAGTTTGCACCTCTACAATTGCGTGTAGAAAGAACTTAACGACAATCATGAGGCATAAGGTACTGACATCTAATATCAACCTGTCCTGACATGCAGAACAGGTACTGTGCCCAAAAATACAATGAATGTACCCAAAATACAATGAATTTCTGGAAGATCGGAATGACTTCACTGCTCTGAACATTGCTGGCAACGGAGTTCAGTAGATGAACTCTTTTAATAGAACTACTAAGAATAAGGAGGGAAAGCAAACATCTTCGTACAGCAGGAGGAGAGCTATTGTCTTGATGCTGAGGCTGTGACCACAGCCCTGCAGAGATGTTCAGCAGCTGTGTCTCTCCTGCCCTCCAGACCAAAAGTCTGCCACAGTTACTGCATGCGTTGGGTCTTGACTTTGGTTCATTTAGCTGTCTGCTACTGAGAGTTAACAATTATAATCAGGAATTGCATTTGGAAGGGCTTAAAGCACCATGAAAGATAACACCGTTCTTGTGACCTCAGCATAGGCTGTGTTTCCAGTGTAAGTGTTGTTAGCCTCCATTTTGCGTAAGCTACAGCAAACTTACGAGGTCTGTTTTATGAGAAGACAAGCAAAAGTGATGATATTGACCACTCAGATAGAAGAATGAAAGCTTGCAAAGAGTGTTTTACAAAGAGTATCTGCTGTAAGTGTTGAGTGAAAAAAAATAATTCCAACTCGGACAAAATAGTGAGCCTTCATAATAGTGTACTATCAGCATTACAATAACTACAGCTGTAAAGCATAAGGCTTTGTCTTCCATAGCGTGCAAACAGATTTTGCCTAGGTGCTTCATTTGTCCTGTTTTGTCTGTATGTTGGGTTTTTTATATCAGGCTGCATCTCCTGCCACATGTCATGGTCACTTGATATTATGTGATAACACGGGAAGTTGAGGGCCTAGGAGATTAATTCTGTCTGGGAAACATGTCCTACAGAAGATAATAAGTTTCAAGCAACTAAATTCCAGCATGGATTGTGACATGTTAGCGTTTCCATTAGACAGTTTGGGTGTAAATTTGAAGTGTTGTTAGTATTGGTACTCTGAACTTGTTCATGGAAAGCAGACACATTTTATACAACCGTTATGTTTCACTAAAAAACAAAAACTCTAGAATGCAGTGTTTGCTTTCAGAAAGTAAACAAGAAAAAATATAAGCAATTAAACAAACAATAACTATAACCAATATAAGGTCTTGAAACATCATTAACACCAGACAATAGATACCCTGGAATAATTTTATACAAATATTTCGTATCTGTCCTGCGTATGTTTGACTGGTTTTCTGTTATGGCCCATTTTCTTAGCTGTAAAGTCTCATTCATTCTTAGGGGTCACAAGGAAACTTAGGTACTATTGGCTCCTAGTGACTCTGAATTTCTGAAGATTTCAAATGAAAAAACACCAAAGCAGTCAGTCTGGCCAGTATGTGCACCAAATCGCCATGCAAAAAATACTAAATATTAGGAGTGACAGGTTACAACACCTATGATCTATGGAATGTCACATTTTCCTAGTCTGAGTACCCAGCTGAGTACCTCAGACAAAGCATACCCTAAGGAATCACATATCCTATTTGAAGTGTTCTTCCAGTGAAATATAACTTTAAAGAAAGCTGATTTGATAACTTTGTCCTGTGGATTATAGGAACGTCGACCTGTATGTCTGGTTTCCTTGCACAGAAAAGAATTGGAGGTTTGACAAGTTCAGCTCACAAATCTCAGAAATTTCCAGTGCAACAGAAAAAATAAGAATTTAATTATAGCATATAGTTTAAACTCTCAGACAGGACAATAGTTCACCTAAAAACCGACAGTGGCATTGAACTGGAGCAAAAATCATTATCCCTCGTCCAGGTCTCCATACGAACTTGACCTATCCTTACGAAAGTAACTCACAGGAGAGAAAATATATTTGCAGTGTTTTAGATACTTTCAGATTATTGCTGATTAATGAGAAAGATATGAAAATCCAGTTCCTCAGCAGACAGACAAATGGGAAAGCAGTGGAATTGGAACAGCTCCATAAAAATAGCTAAAGAGGCAGGGAATAAGGCTAGCCATGAGGGAGTAAGCCTACTGATAGCTGCATCAGTGCTTGGAGCACTTCCAGAGCAAAAATGTCCTTTTCAGAAACCCGAGTGAACAGGCTGACCTCAGAGCTCTGCCATGGATGGACACGTTCCCCGTCCTGTAACAGAAGCTCAGACACTGGTGATGGGCCCCTAAAAGAAGCCAAGTGGATGGACAGACAA